ATGACATTCGGGCCATCAAAACGGCACGAGGCCACCCGTTATGTAACGCGGGGCGGAGGGTGGAAAAAACATGGAAACCGCATATCGTCGCACCCGCTGGCAACCCCCACCGTGGCCGGAAGAGGGGTGGTTCCTTCCTTCCGGCGTCGCAATTTCGCCCGTCCCCAGCCTCGTCCGCCTCGTGGTCCTAACACCGTCTTTAATTAAATCACTCCCGAATCTACTTTTTTCCCTCTCGTGCATCTCCGCTCCTTTCTTCTCGTTCCTTGGCCACTTGGAACTTAAGCGCGGAAATTACTGCGTTATCCACGAGTTAGATTCTCTTCTCTATATATACATATATATACGAGGATTGACGATTGCCAAGGTTTTTGTCGTTTCGATTTCGTTATGAGAGTGAAAGTGTCTCTTGGTAGCTCTCTTTTCAAATATGGATTCTGGTTAAATGCAAAATTCTTGGATAACTGAAACTATCATATCCACACTTGATTCTTTCTAAATAACAAAAAGGAATCTACGAAGCTACGAAGAAACTCTTCTCTAAATTCTTAATTAATGGATTGACCAATTGGAAGCAATCGTTTCCAATGATGATCGAGGAATCTTACCGCACATACTGATGCAGTAATAACAAATCAGATCGATCGAAGTGGGGAAAGGAGGGGGGCAAAAAGCAAAAGTGTGGTGCGGTTGTAACGGATACGGGCGGGATTGTGTCTCGGTACTCACCTCGACAGTATCTTGGATACACAGCCGTGAGATACCCTGAGTTGTCTGGAAATGTCGCACGGTCGGACGCCGCTGTGCGCCAGCTCGACGATCCTCTGCCTCACTACATCCGGTAGGGGCCTTCCGTTCACGAAGACGCCGCCGAGCTGGTTAACTCCGCCGTGGCCTGGAAAATGGAAATCGATAATGCATTAGCCGAGAAGGGGGGACAACCGAGGAGCGTCGAGGCCGAACTTTCCTCTCGAACAACGATCGTTCCCGATCTTTCGATTACCTTCACCGATATCGGCCCCCAATTTTCGATCTTACGCTCTCCGCTCTACATCGACACACTTTGGAGGAGTTTTGCTCGAGGAGATTTTTTAAGGGATGTTTAAGGTTATGGAAAGAGGGTGAAATAATTCTTGATCTCGCATCGAGATCGTCGGATATCAGAGAAGGACGTGCAAATTTTTTTAAGAGCGTGTGCTTTTTGTGATGTAATGTATATTTAAGATATTATTGTTTTTATCGTATAAAAAAACTTTCATTGTTCGATCGAAATTGTGTAAGTTCGTGAGAGGGGGCGTGAAAATGGAACGTGATTCAAAAATCTCTTATTAAATAATTGATTGATCATTGATCGAATTGGAAATTAGATGGATATGGATTTGTTAGAAGAAGATTTTGATATCGTAAAATTAATCGATTTTTCGAATTTGGAACTTGGAAATAATCGCGCGACAATTGAGAAAGAATGAGTTTTCGTAGAAGATTCAATTAAGATTGGCAAGATTTCAGAAATATAGTATATAGTAAAAAATAGATACAATATTCCACACAGAGACAAAAATAAGAATCTATTTTGAAACAAACTTATCCTCAACCTTGAGATCGATCTACGTACTTCTACATTCCTCATACGCAATAAATCCTAATTAATTACAATTATATTGTAAAAAACTATAGAAAATACTAAAAACGTCTTACAATAAATATCATACCTTTCAGAAAATCAAGCAAATCGAGAATAACAATATAATCCAATTATCCCAACACATCCTTTCTTAATTCATCTTTTATTCCCGAAAATGTATTTCTTCCCCCCTCTTCCATTCCTCCCTCTTTCGAGGCGCATTTGCCAATAATGAAAGCAACGTGTTCCAGATCATTCGATTTTCCATCCCGCACTCCACTCCATACGCGAGACGACTTTATTTTCGCGCATTACGACCACCTAACGCGCCAACTTCCATCTAATATCGTAAATGGAGGGTCCTGCGACGGACCGCGACATATGTCCCCGTGTACGTGCCAGTGCACCGATGATTCGATCATCATTCGTTGTTTCTCCAACCCCTCCAACTAACTTTAACTCGTGTCACGCGTTATTCATCCCTCGCTTTCGCTCCTTATTTTTACCCGGTCTTAATCGACTTCTTCTTCCTCCTCCTCCTCCTCCTCCTTCTCCTCCTCTCCGAGAGGAGAGAGATTTTAACGCGCTCCAGTAACGCAGCCGGGTATAATAAGATCTGATACGAATCTTCTTGTTGCCCGTTCAGCCGGGATTATTCTACTAGAAAATTAATTCTAGATTTGTCCCACGGTCGTTCAGCTTTCGCACACGCCCAAAGTATTCGAGTTTCTTTCGCCACGGAAATTATCCGCGATTGTTTTGTGCAGTTGGCCGCAAAAGTATCCTAACCATATCGAACGTTTATATATATATATAAATAAATTAAAAGTGATTGATGATTTTTAAAATTAAAAATTTTATTCTATCTCAATACTATGTTTTATTATCAATAATTAATCAAAGAAAATTGTAATTATTAGAGGATTCTAATAATCTAATTCTAATCATATCGAACGTTTATATATATATAAATAAATTAGTTAAAAGTGATTGCTGATTTTTAAAATTAAAAATTTTATTCTATCTCACTACTATGTTTTATTATCAATAGTTAATCAAAGAAAATTGTAATTATTAGAGGATTCTAATAATCTAATTCTAATCATATCGAACGTTTATATATATATAAATAAATTAGTTAAAAGTGATTGATGATTTTTAAAATTAAAAATTTTATTCTATCTCAATACTATGTTTTATTATCAATAATTAATCAAAGAAAATTGTAATTATTAGAGGATTCTAATAATCTAATTCTAATCATATCGAACGTTTATATATATATAAATAAATTAGTTAAAAGTGATTGATGATTTTTAAAATTAAAAATTTTATTCTATCTCAATACTATGCTTTATTGTCAATAATTAATCAAAGAAAATTGTAATTATTAGAGGATTCTAAAAGTTTGGAATGTACACGTTTCTAAAATAAGATAAGGCAAGAAACTTTTGAATATCCAATAACAACATATCACGTTTTAATATAATAACCAATTCTCCTTAATCCGTAATACCTCTTTATCCCCTAAGTAAAGTAAACAGGAGCCCTTTCCTCACCCCTTCGCATTCGAACAATCTACTAATTACCACCAATCATCCATCCACACTCTATATCACAGAAGCATCATTGTTATCGAAATCGAGGCGGCCTCCGAATCCACCACCGATCCGCCTTTTTTTCCCTCCCTCGCCACCCCCGTCGAGCTTTATCGCGCGGGCAATCTCCA